TTCGTGCAACTAAACCGTCTAATTATTAAGGGGGCTGAGATGCGAGGAGGATCTGGGGAGGCCCGCGCTGGAGCAGGGCTGCGCGGCGAGGGCACGGGGAAGGTCTGTGGACGAGCCGGAGGAGGGGCGGGACGCGCCACGGGAGCCGGGGGCTCGGGGGCGCGGGGACGCGGGGGCGCAGGGGCGCTCCGGAGTTGGCCTGTTTTCCGTGGACGGCGAGAGGGAGGGGCCACGCTGGGCTCCTTTCAGCTCAGTGTCGGTGCTTCTCCCCCGGCCACCTCCCAACAGCGGCTCTAATCCTTTGTGCACTTTTTCCAGCCTTCAGGAGATTCTCTCCATAAACCCCATTTCCCTGCCAACAGTCATGACAAACGGTAGCCAGCCTCGCTCCCAAGAAATGACGGCTGTGGGGGCTCCCTGACCGGCTGCACATGGAGCTGACAGGGCCTCGTGCGGCCCCCGCAGGGCTGTCGCCTGTGTGCAGCCCCCCTTTCCTGTCGGCCTCTCAGCTGCCCCCTCAGCTCCTGGGCGCCCTCCCACTCCCCACAGCACCCCGTCCCTGCTGAGCATCTGGAAGGCAGGTGTGTGAACAGGCCTGCACCTGCGATGAGGGGACTGCACAGGCGCGAGGGCCACAGAAAACGGAGACCGACCCTCTGCAAGGACCTTAAGGCACCGCCCCGTCTGAGGGGTCTGCGGTGGGCGCAGGGCTCCTTCCTCACCGCCCCGTCTGAGGGGTCTGCGGTGGGCGCAGGGCTCCTTCCTCACCGCCCCATCTGAGGGGTCTGAGGTGAGTGCAGGGCTCCTTCCTCACCGCCCCGTCTGAGGGGTCTGCGGTGGACGCCGGGAGCTGGAGGGCTGGGCGAGGGGACCACTGTCTCCAGGGAAGCAGGTTAGTGGAGCTGGTGGGTTTATGTGCTGTTTCCGCAGCGGCCCACAGGCTCCCTCAGGGGCCACCGCGGTTCTCGAGCATCCGGGCCCAGCCCGGCGTATATGAGGACAAGGCTGGCTTTGAGGCCCCGACCCTGGGCAGGGGCTCCTCGAGGGGCGGGTGGTTAATTATGTGCTGCTGGGGAGCAGGGTCTACCCAAGGCCCCGACCCTGCCCCTGGGCTGCAGCTGCTTGTTTTCAGCATTTCTCTCAGGCTGAACGCGAACTGCTTGTCTGCACACCGAGGCAGACCTGCCGCGTAACGGTCTGAGGGCCTCACGCCGGGTCGGGCAGCTCGCTCTCCAGCGGCCTCGGAGGGTGCCGGCTGCCGGGTGGGGGGTGGCGCCCAGGCCCCGAGTGCGCCCGCCTGGAGGCCCTGTGCTTCCCTCTCCTTCACCGGCGGAGCCCGCGGCGGCCTCAGGCCCTCAGACCCCCGCGGCAGCCTCCTGTTTGTGGGGCCTCTTGCGTTCGCTTTGCTCTGTGGCTTGTGATGCGTCTGCCTGGTGGCGATTCTGTGAACAAGCCCTGGGAGCTCGGAGAGTTCGTCTCGGAACCGCCTTCTCCCTGGCGCCCACAGCACCTGCCCCCGAGTGCGGTCACCTCTGGAGTGAAGGCGCCTCGGCCCCCCAAGCACGGGCCCTCTTCTGAGGGCGAGGAGTCTCTCCCTCTCTGATGGACTTTGTCTCCAGCAGCTGCCCCGGGCCTGGATCCCAGCGCTGCCCTGAGCTGTTCCCGGAGGCTCGGAGGGACTCCTGTGACCCTGCGTCTGGGGCTCCCGCCACCTCCCCTGGGCCAGGAGGCTCGTGAGTGGCCCCGGCGTGATGCGCCCCTCGCACCCCACAGAGGGTCAGGGCGCCTGCTGTGCTGCTCTGATGAGGCCTAGGGACCTCATCCAGGCCACCCCGGTTGGTGAGTCCTCAGTGACTCCTCCCTCCCTCCCCCCTCCCCACCCAATGTCTGGCTTCGGGCTTCATTCAGAGCAGCCATTCTCCTCGGCCGTCGGGCTGGGCCAGTTCCGGGCTCCGGGGAGAAGGGCCCCTCTCGTGGGGAACGCCCCGAGCCCCAAGAATGGAGGAAGCAGGGCCGCAGGGACAGGGGAAGCTCATCCTCAAGGGCACGGCCTGATTTTTACCTGACCTGGCGGTGACAGCACGTCGAGACACACAGGACAGGCACATGTGACACCAGCACAAGGACTGAAAAGCGGGCCCCAGGAGACTGCAGAGTGGGACCTCCTTCTGCAAAGTCTGAGGCCAAGCAGAATAGGTGGCGATGGCCGAGGCTTGTGTGCGTGTGAGGAGACTGCGGGTGGGAGCCAGTAGGGGCTCAGGCAGACACCCTTCACTGGCCACGAGGGACCCTGGACTCTGCCGGCAGGCACACAGGTGTCCTTTGGTTCACTGACACAAATGTGCAGTAAGAGTCAGGGAGAAAAGGCCACCGGGAAGGGACAGTGACCCCAAGCTCCTGCCTGTGCTTCTCATCCCAGGGAGAACTCTTTACTCCTAGGAACAAGTTTGGGATTTATCCCCAGGTAGGGTGGCCACTGGCCAGGAAGCTGGTGGGAGGTTGCAGCTGGGTCCCAAAAAGAACCGCTGTGTTAGCTCCCGGCCCAGCGGCACGTGGAGGCTGCAGGGAGTGTGCGGACGCTGGAGGGCCTGGGAGCGTCCAAGCTGCTGGCCTGTGAGGGCTCGCAGCAACCAAGCCCCACACGGAGCCCCAGATGCTGTAGCAGATGCGAAGCCACAGCCTGAGGCCGTCCTCGAGCCTGAGCCTGGGTGGTCAGCGCATTCCAGGGTGGGCTGGAGCGTGTGTCCAGGGCAGAGTGAGAGGAGCCTTGTGTCTGCAGAGCCGAGGTGGGGTGGGCTGTGCCTGGGCTGGGGCCTGGGATCCCCCACGCAGTGCCCCAGCTCCACCGGGACCATGAACTCAGGGCCTGAGGGGCCCGAGCACCGAAGTGTGCGGTGGTGCCTTTCCGAGAGGCAGGGCCCTGGGGAGGCGACGGGGCATGGGGTGGGGGGCAGGGGACGGAAACCACTAATTTCAGAGCAAGCCCGGTGTGAGCACACTCCCCAGAGTCGTGTTTATTCTCCGGGAGTGAAGGCCTTGGGCTCGGGGCTCGTGGAGCCCTCAGACGTGGCCTCCGGAGGGGGCTGCCCCAGGGGACAGGTGGCAGGCGGCCACGCTCATCCTGCGTGCACACTGCAGCTCCTCAGGGGAGGGGCAGAAATGCGGGCAGGGTCTCAGACCCTCTGCCAAGTCTGCTGCTTGCCCCGGTCCTCCCGGAGGGCGTCCTCCCCTGCTGTTGACAGCCAGTCATCCCCTTGGGCCCTGGGCGGGGGGGCATGGAGCCACCATCCTGTGTCCCCCTTCACCCAGCTGCCCCCAGGCTGTTGGGCCTGGCCACTTTGCAGGTCTCCAAGGTGGGCTGGCCGTGGCCCTGCTCTTGCCTCCCCGGGCCCCCAGCTCCTGGCCTCTCCTTGGCTGTCCTGTCTCCATCCAGACAGGAAGCCATGGGTTTGTGGCAGCTCAGCCTCCATCTTTATGGACAGCGCACCCGTGTCCCTGCATTTGCAGCCATGGATCCAGGTCCTGGATGGGCAAGCAGCCAGTGAGCTGACCCTGCAACCTCTATTCTGATTCTTTGCGTCTTCCTCTTTGTTTTTGGTGAATGAATGGAATCTTAGATAATTCTCTTTTTTCCAGCACACAGACGTGGTGCACACCGGGCGTGTCTGTCTGCTGCAGTGTCGGATCCACGCCGCTGGTGACGGTCACGGGAGCCCTGAGCCTGCTCCATGGCCTGTGCCTGCTGTGAGCCCATCCCTCCTCCCGGCCCGCGGCCTTCCTGTCTAGGCAGCAGATGCACTCGGCCTCGCGGGCTGCCCAGCTCTGTCACAGCTCTCGACTCTGCCATCCTTGAAGCAGCCACAGAGGGGACACGCAGGTGCAGGACTGAAGCTGTGCCAACAACACTTTATTAATGAAACATGCAGTTGGCTGGTGCCAGTGTGTCCACACTCGCATGGCGGTGGGCATCCAGCTGTGACGCCGAGGCTGGGTCTCTGACCGCAGGCCCAGCTCCCTCCGGGGGCTTGCAGAGCTGAGCGGGCATCCACGTCTTGTTTTCAATTCGTGCCATTTGTGGTCCCATGGGTGGCCCGTGGCCTGTGAGGTCGGGACTCTGTCTCAGCCGTCCCAGCGAGTTCCCAGCTGGGTCTCAGGCAGGGAGCGCCTGTAGTTTATTTCTCACGCCCGACAGGTGGGACCAAAGGTGGCCCAGGAGACTTTCTTCCTACAGATCCAGGACATAGTCTCTGCTCCCAGCACATCACAGGCACTTAAAAAATACAGGTTTATGGGCTTCCCTGGTGGCTCAGTGGTTGACAGTCCACCTGCCAATGCAGGGGACGCGGGTTCGTGTCCCGGTCCGCGAAGATCCCACATGCTGTGGAGTGGCTGGGCCCGTGAGCCATGGCCGCTGAGCCTGCGCATCCGGAGCCTATGCTCTGCAACGGGAGAGGTCACAGCAGTGAGAGGCCCGCGTACCGCAAAAAAAACCAAAAAAAAATACAGGTTTAATTAATGAAAAGGGTGTTAGCTAAATAGAGCTGTCTAATTCCACAGCCTATATTTTTTCCTGGGAATTGTTGCCCCAGGCGGGCCTGGAGGTGGCAGCCCTCCCCTTACTGAGGGTCTGGGACCCTCCACTGAGTCACGGCACCTGGACCCACGGGAGACTGGGACACCCATGTCTTTGACTCTCGGTAACACATTTTGAAACAAACAACAGCTGCCCAGTAACAGCTCCCGCTGGGTAGGTGACCTCTCGCTGCTGAACTGCCGGGGGGGGGGGGGGGGGGGGGCCGGCAGCCGCTCCTTCCTGCGAGGATCAAGCCGCAGGGACGGGGCCTCCTTCAGGACGTGCGTCCGGCTCACGTGGCCTCTTGTTCTCGCCCGTTCTCCTTCCTGAAGCTGTCGTCTTCCTGACGAACAAAGGAAAGAGAAGTAACTCAGCGAGGCCGAGCACAGCACAGGGACTAACTCAGATCTCACAGGATGACTCACCGCCATGCCTCCCCGGGGACCCTGCGGCCTTGGCCGTCCTTGTCCCTGCCCACTGGCCGCCACCTACTCTCGAGAAGCCGGCGAGGAGCCAGCCCCTGAGCGGCAGTGTCTGGGGCGGGAGCAGCCATGAGTGACCGTCCAGTGGACGAGAACTCAGAGCCCAGTGAAGCCCAGACGCTGGGCCGAGTCAGCTGGATGGGCATCAATCAGGTGGTCCAGGGAGGGCTCCCAATCCCTCCTGCTGGCTTCAGTGCTGGCTTCCGTGCCAAAAAGAGCATCCTCAGTCCTTCGATCTGGGGGTGATCAGCTGTTCCCACCTGACACGAATGTCCTTCTGCTCTATTTGCCTTTGAAGAGGTCATTGTTTTAATCTAGTTTAACTTTTCATCATCTGACGTGAGGAGGATGTAGTGACTGCATAGCGATGGCTGGACAATGGATAAGACAGTAAGTTAATCATGAATGTAATACAGCGTCTGCTAAACACCAGCCGTTGGGCTGGGGGTTTGTGCATCTCATCCAGCCCGAGAGCAGCCCTGGAGGAGGGAATCCCTTTGGCTCATTGACGGCTAAGTCAGTAGAGCTTCCTCAGTGCACAGAGAGCCCCGGGGGCCCTGCCCGCAGGTGTGCCTCCCAGGGGCCCCGCCCGCAGGCATGGGTGTTCTCCTGTCTGTCATCGTCCCTGCATGGGCCGTGACCACGGGGGCGGCGTCCATCAGCACAGATGCACCTCTCACCCCCTCCTCACGGCCCTTGTGCGCAGCAAGTTCTGGGGTGACTGCACTTTGGCACACGAGCACCCAGGCCAAGCGCGGGGGCTGGGGTCCTGTCCAGGCAGGCAGTGTTGCCGAGAGGCCTCGGGCAGCGCTGCGCCCGCACTGCGCCAGCCCTCCCAGCCCCGCTCCCAGAGCCTGTGGCCCTGAGCGGGAGGCTCTGGCCGTTCCCCTCACTGTCCTGTCACATAACTTGCTTTATGTTGAAGACAGGGCGGGACCGAGTGTGCCCCAGTCCAGCCTGCAGGAGGTCAGCCAGCTGCCCAGCATGGAGACCACCAGGAGGGCTGTCCCCCACCTGCATCTATGTTCTATGTCTTCAAAGAAAAGGATATTTTAAAAAGAAAAAGAGATGAATCTGGGTGTCTTTGCCTTGTGGAAGGAAATAGTTGTTTTTGTTTGTTGTTTTTTTTTTCTGTACGTGGGCCTCTCACTGTTGTGGCCTCTCCCGTTGCAGAGCACAGGCTCTGGACGTGCAGGCCCAGCAGCCACGGCTCACGGGCCCAGCCGCTCCGCGGTACGCGGGATGCTCCCGGACCGGGTCACGACCTGTGTCCCCTGCATTGGCAGGTGGACTCCCAACCACTGCGCCACCAGGGAAGCCCAGCTGTTTTTCATTTTGACGCAATAATATGAGAATAGACTTTGGGGAAGAAATAGACATGAAACACTCATGCTTCCTGAGGATGATTAAGGGTTTGGTAACTTCTCTCGGTGGACGGCAAGGAAGCTCCTCTGGATCTGGTCCCGGGGCTAGGAGACCCAGAGGGTGCAGACCTGTCCAGCCTGGTCTGCAGGCGGGGCTGCCTCAGGCTTTTCAGGCCAGCTCTCGGGTGGACGGGCCGGCCTCTAACTCCTCCGCTGGCGGGACCTTGGGGGTCTGAGGGCAAACTGTGCAGGGGGGGCGGGTGCTCATCCTCGAAGTCAGAGGGAGCCCAGGAAGCAGGCGGCCAGACAGGGACAGGAGGCCAGGAAGGACCCCAGCCCCGTTGTCCCCTAAACAAGCGTGACTTAGGATCGCGAGCTCAAGTCTGGGCCCAGGCAGCCAGCAGAACCCAGCGTCCACGCCCACCCAGGGACCCCAGTCACCTCCGGCCACAAGCACACAAGTCCACCCCTAGGGTTCCCTGACTGCTCCTCCAGCAAACAGCCCCCACAGAGCTTCTGCGGGAGACCGGTAGGTCGGCTCCAGGGAGACTGTGTAGACGGAGTGTGTCCTGCGTGGCTGTGTAGACGGGGTGGGTATTGTCTGTGTGACTGGTGGTTGTGCTGCGAATTTACAGCGTTCTTCGTGCTCTTTCCCAGCAGGTGCTCAGTCCTTCTCTAGGACGAGTGACCCCGACCCCAGGGTGTATTTGGAGCAGAGGACGGGAATATTTGGCACCTGGAGACGCACCAGTTTGAGTGAGGTGTGTGAACGCCAGTCTACACACCTGAATGCTGTGGGTCCTCCAGGCTGTGTCTATGGAGCTCATGTTCTCACACAGATGCTGGTCCCTGACGATGTTGAAATGCTCAGCTGGTACTTGTTCGCCTCAGTGCTTCGCGTCCTGGATTTGCCGGAACTTTTCCTCCTGAGGAGCAGGGGCAATAGAGTCTCCTCGGGGCCAGGAGGATGGAGACGTGCAGACTTGCTGCTTTCCTCTAATGGGATGAGGTTGGGAACACGGCCCACGGACCCTGGATTTATACCTGTGCACACACATGTGCACATATGCACAGAGGAGGGGCCTGGGGACGTGTCCACACACACGTGCACACACACACTGGGTGGCAGTGAACCCCAGCTTCCAACTAGGACGTTTGAGCCCCTTCCTGGCAGGTACCCTGTCTGGGTGGCTGGTCCACACGCCCTGCAGGGTGAAGGCAGCCCCTTTCTTAGGAGGTCGGGGCCTCTCTGTGGACCTGGGCCACAGGCACCATCTGTCCTGTACTGGCCTGGGTGTGTGGTGAGTAATTCTAAGCTGCAAGAGAACGGTTGGGCTGCACCAGGGAAGCCAAGGCCCCTCTCCCGAGAGGTCAGAAGGGGCCCTGTGGGCCTCCTCAAGTGGAACAGCACCTCAACATGGGCCTGGGCTGGACGCCGGGGAAGCCCCGGCCCACGGGCTCCTGCATCCACGCTGCTTCTCCGTTTCCCCACCGGTGAGCACAGGTCGCCTGGCTGGGGGACGGCGGCTTCTGATGGAGGCCCCGGGGGTGGCAAACGGCCTCCTGGCCTCCCGCCAGGCACCTCGGCGCCCAGAGCCGGGTCAGGCCACGCGTGGGCCCTGCATGGGTGGAAACGCCCCTCGGCCAGAGGCGCGGCCTCTTGCTCCCCTGTTCGGGGTGCCGGCAGGGACCCCGAGGTCCACAGATGCTGCCTGAGGCCGGGCGGGGATACTGACCCCGAGCTCCAGTGCACACACCTCCTGCCTGAGGCAGAGGCAGCCCCACTCTCCGCCCTCTGCACCTCAAGCAGCCGGCTTAGAATTTTATAGTCAACGTGTAAGTTCGTCTTTGCCTGTTGCTTTCTGGAAAAAGCTGGTCTGGGGAAGCACTGGGGTTGGAGGGAGACAGCTCCACCCACGGGCATGGAGGATGGGCCCTCTGCTTGCAGACGCTTCGGTGACAAAGGCGAGATGGCCCCATGGGGACAAATGGGTCCTTTTGTGGGAACGAAGTGTCGTGGCACCCAGGCGTGTCCTCCAGGAAGGGCAGTCATGGGAGCCCTGCAGCCCTGGGAACCCGGCAGCCACGGGAGCCCTGCAGCCCTGGGAGCCCAGCAGCCATGGGAACCCGGCAGCCCTGGGAGCCCGGCAGCCCTGGGAGCCCAGGAGACACGGGAGCCTGGCAGCCATGGGAACCCGGCAGTCCTGGGAGCCCGGCAGCCATGGGAACCCGGCAGTCCTGGGAGCCTGGCAGCCACGGCCCAGCCGCTGGTTCGTGTGCACCCTCTGTCCCTCGGTTTCTCCACCTGTGAAGAGGGGACACAGGGCTCCCGAGGTCCTCTTGGGCTCTCGGAGAGAGCAGGAGCCTTTTGAGGCCTGGGGGAAAGATTACCCCCTGCTCACCTCTCCCCTCCCCGCACCCCTGCAGGGCACAGTGTGTCCTTCAGGCGCGGCGGTGCTGGGCCACGTGGGCCCCGGCCTGCACGCCGGCAGACTGGGAGCCCGCTCGCACGTGAGCCCCGAGGTCCCTCGGGAGGCGCGTTCCCGAAGGTCGTGCTGCGCGTCCTGCAGCAGGTGGGTCTAAACTGTGGGTCAGCGCATGGCTGGTGCCCCTCTGACCACCTCCTCCCTCCTCCTATCACTCGAAGGACATTTTCAACCTCACGCTGTGGGACAGGCCCTCGTGGGGACTCAGGTGGAGAAGGGAGAGGGGTCAGGAGGAATCACAGGTCACAGGGAGGAGAGAGGTTGGACTCGGGCAGCCCGGCGCTTCCAAGCGGGCGTTGGCAGAGGGGCGGGCCGCGGCGGGGGCTGTGCGTGGTTGGGCTGCAAGTGTGCAGGAGGCTGCAGGGGACCCGAGTCTGGACTTGACCCCCAGGCTGCAGGAGACCAGGCGCGCTTTCGGCAGAGGTGCCTGCTGTTTTGTGAGGTGAGTGGCAGGATGGCAGTCAGACAAGGGGGGCCATGGTGCCCTGTGGCCCCAGCTGCCAGTCAAAGGCTCCTGCCTGGTCCGGGGCTTTTAGGGGACGTGCTTGGGATCATGGGGGGCAGATCCCAGTGTCCTCAGCAAGGAGGCACCTTCGGGGAAACCTCCACCCCACCGTGAATAGCTGGGCTCCTCTGCACCCCCAAGATGCTGGGATTCCCGTCAAAAGTGCCCCTAAAAAAGTGGGAGCTCAATAACATGGTAGCAAGTGAGTGGTACGTCTGATTTCACCCTGCTTTTGGAGCTTTTCAGGTCAAGGACAGTGTCAAAAAAACTCTTCAAAAATTCAGCAGGAAGTAATTACAGTCAAAGATATGAAGTAGCTTCCCTTTCAAAATCTTGCTTAATTTTTCCTACTGCTATTAAAGGATTAATTAATTCCTACTTATTAAAAATGCTCCCTCAGAGCTATCAAGTACTTTGGCTAATTAAAGGAAACTTAACTTTGCAAAGAATCAGTAGAGTCTGACTAAACAGTGTTTCCACCAGCTGCTGCTGGGGGATCCATTTGACTACAGCTGCATATTTAGGAAAAGCTGTTGAAGAGAAAAGCAGCAGGTAACCCTTCACTTAAGACTGCGCAGAAGCTGTCCTTGAACAAGCCAGAGCATGGCTGGGGCAGGATCCAGAGATTTCGCCCGTGGCCTCCGGGCAAGGAAGAGGCCTCTCACTGGGAAGGGGCAGCGCAGGGCGCAGAGCCCCTACCAAGCCTGCCGTTCATCAACTCTAAGCATGACTCTGGTTTTCTCCTACCCACAAAGCAATGACTCGCACGCTTTCCAGTTGCACATAATCTGTGCTCCTAGTGATTTCACTGCAGCACCAGGAGGGGCAGGTGGGCGTCTGGATTGCGGCTCTGCGATCAGCCGTGGTTTGCTGGAGCGACGGTGCGTCGAGACCCTCCCCTCTCGCCTGCTCTGCCGCGGCTGGTCCCCTGCTGGCCCCAGAGCTTCCCTGTCTGTCTGAGCTCAGGGACGGTGCCCCGGATGCAGCATCTCCTGGGGGACCCCCCTCACTGCACAGACCTCTCCTCTCCTTTTTCCACGGAGCCTGGTAGTGGGTGGATGGATCCTCCTCACCCCAGACACAAAGCTAGATTCCAGATGCCTACGGAGGTAAACACATAAACGACAAACGCTCACCACGGGAAGATTAACACCGGCGAGACAGTGACCTCGGCTCATGAAACCCACTGAATATGCTGGACCCATGAGTTCACGGTAACACTGGACATAGAATCGGTGTCTCTGATTGTTGTCATTTGGTATTATGAACAAATCAACATTTACAAAGCAAGTAAAAACAATAACACAATCAATGCAAATAATGATTATAAAACTTATAAATATGTTAGAAGAGCCGTTCCTGGTAAGCAATATCAAAGGAATTCTTAAAAACCTTTAAGAAAAAATATATAATTGGTTATTCTTGGAGGATGCCATTGAACAAAGTTTTAAAAAAAATTTAACAGATGAACACTGGTAAAGAAGCAAGCGTTAACCTTGTCTTTCTTAGATGGACGGGACCAAAGGGTGGGTGGGGTCCCGGGCGGGCATTGCAGCTTCCCCTTTGTCCCTGACCTTGGCTTACCTTGCTGGGTGGATGCTGGGTCTCCAGGGTCGGGGCCTGTGTCCAGCTCTCCGGGGCCTCCCCTGCGACCCCGAGATGCCGGGCACCACTGCCCCACTGGCATCAGACCTTCCTGGACGCTGCCCCACTGGCTGACCCATGTGTGGAACGCCCATGTGGGTCTCGTGGCTTTCCTCCACTGTGTTTGGTTCCTGGGGCCCGTTTCCTGGCTCCAGCCACGCCCAGGTCTTCAGACACCTCTGCGGGGTCCCTGCTGGGTGCCGACCAGTGCTGAGCTCACGGCTCCATCCACGTCTGCCGCGGCACCACACATGGCCTCAGAGCAGTGTCCAGCAAGTCACACAGAGCATGCAGCAAAGATACAGGCTTCACTGGGGAAGCAGCAAGGTTCAGCGAAGGCAGAGATCCCAGGGACAAGCCCAGGTCTCAGTGTCCAGGTCAGGCATACGGGGTTAGGGGGCCTGCCGGGACGTGGGGCGTCTGTCCACGGGAGGCTGCGCCTGAACGCAGCCCCCCATCCAGCGGAGCCCATCCCCTCGCGTCCACAATTCATGAGTGAGAATTTTCTTTGCAGCATTGTTTGTAAAAGGAAAAAAATGAAAACAACTCAAAAATCCGTGAATAGAGAAACAGTTGAACTATGGTGCAAATTATGGAATATTCTACAGCCTTCCAGATTAAATGTAACAGAACTGCCACGATGGACATCACGGGACAACCTGAGACCACTCTCTCACACTCAGTTTGTATCCCATCAGTACCCACATGATACTGCGCTGTGTGGGACCCATGTGTGGAACGCCCACGTGGGTCTCATGGCTTTCCTCCAGTGTGTTTGGTTCCTGGGGCCCGTTTCCTGAGGAATAACTCGCAGGCCTGGCCAGACCAGAAGCCTGCCTGCTGTTCCTGCCTGGACAGGGTTGGCCTAGCGTGAGGTGGAATTTCTGATTTGAATCACTGGCCCGTGTTAAAGCCTGGCCGCTGCAGACAGAAGCCTGGAGCTCTTGCTGGAATCTTCCGCAACAGTTGGTCTGGGCTCCTGCCTGAGGATGGGCCTTGCCGAGCAGTGGAGGCCCTGGGGTCGGGGATCAATCTCTGCGCACTCACAGGTGCTGGGCGGTGATCGCCGCCCCCAGAGCGCTCGCTCCCCACGTCCCGTGCTGCCCGACAGCCCTGCCGAGGCCGCGGCCCCAGGAAGTAAGGGCGAAGGCCGCAGGTGTGTCTCCCGCGAGACACAGAACACTGTGGACACTGCAGTGGACACTGCAGACAGCGCAGCTTCCCTTTTCCAGGCGGCGTCCAAGGCCTGCCTTCACCCTAAACGCCTGCCTGGTTTCCCAGGCAACAGGCATCACTAAGTGCAGATCAGGACGCGAAGCACAGGGCTTAGCCCCGCCCGTGCAGCTCTGCCCCCCGGAGACCAGGAGGACACCAGGCCTTTGAAAGTGAGTGGCTGGTGGGGGCCGGGCGGGGACGACAGCTGGTGAATTGTGGCCACCTCCTGGAGCACCAGAGGGAAGGAGGGAGGAAGGGATTCCCTGAGGTCAGACGCTGGAAGGCCAGCAGAGGCGCATGTGTTGTCGTCACTCAAGGGCCCCCGGCGCCCTGGAGGGAGTGGAGGACACAGGGTCTGACCGCCTGGGAACACGAAACCGGCAGGAAGCTGTGGCAAGTGGTGGCTGAGTCCAGGGTGGGATTTAGATCAAAGGCCTGCAGCTGTGACAGCCCGCGGGTGGGGTCCTCACAGGCAGGGGACTGGAAGGGGCTGCAGCAGCTGAGCGGGGGCTCCCCCCAGGGAGGGGCCTCAGGGCATCTTCCCTGAAGTCCGTCCTGGGGTCCCTAGTGTGTGGCACACGGGTTTGTTTCCCCAGGAACCTGGGACGCTCCGGTCACCCCTCCCTGCTCACCCCTCCCTCCCATCGAGGCCAGAGGCCCCACCCCCCAAATGCCCGCTGGCCTGGCGGCGAGTTTCGGTCCAGGGGTGATGCTGTCCTGTCAGAAGTGGCTTCAAGCTCGGGGAGGCACAGGGCCGGTGAGCTCCAGGCACGGTTCAGGGCACTGGCGAGGGGTCATCAGGGCGGGGAGGACATACGCTACCTCCTTCACCGAGCAGTTCCGGCCTCTGTGAAATCGGCTAATCGGGACGTATCGAGTGACCACCTCCCAGGAGCAGAGAGCTGGTGCGGGGCCACCGGGCAGACCCAGCTCTCTCTGCTGGAGCCACAGTGACGGCACGACTTAGAAGAGATGCAGGCTCCCCTGTCCACCCTCCCCAGGGACATGTGTGACCAGCGGGTACCGGACTCGGGCCGCAGCTCCCCTGAGTGACTCAGGCTCACACTGACCTCGTCCTTGATCGCAGCAGGGGCAGCGCCTCCCCCGCAGGCCTGGGATTACCAGCCTGCAGGTATAGGTGCTGTGCGTTTTCCAGAGGAATCTCTTTACTTCTGCCCCATTTGATTCCAAGAAGAGAAAAGCACCCTCAGGTTTACCTTATTTCAGAGAAAAATGCCCTCAGCCTTGAGACCCTGCCTGGGCCCTGGCTGTGCCCTTTTCTAGGAGAAGGCCGCTCTAAGGGGGCTTTGAGCATTTGGGGTCCACCCACCTAAGCTCCTCTGAGCAGGAAGCAAACCTGCTACGAAGCCCGTGGCCTGGCTGTGCTGCCCACGCGGTGGCCCTGGCTGCCACCCAAGTCCCCCAACTCGATGGACCCGCCCACCTCCCTGGCGGAGGCAGCAGGAAGCAGACTCTCTGAACAGGGTGAGCGTGTGGGTAGCCTGTGCTCCGGCCTGTGGCACCTCAGCCCGCAGCCCGGCCGGGTGCTGGAGCTGCGTGGACTGCAGCCACCCCACACCCCTGCGTCCCAGGCTGCGTCCCTGTGGCATCACCCACGACCTCCAACCGCAGGCTCCTACCACTGCCCGACTTTCTCCCCCACCTCCAGCTGCTCCTGCCCCCCTCCTGCTGAGCCCCAGGAACCCTGGGTCGGTCCCCTCCCCTCCTCTCACCCACCACCTCCCACCCACCAGCAACCCCCAGGCTCCACTTTAAAAATGCAGCCCAGGTCTGGGAGCTTCTCCCACAGTGGGTTGAGCCATGCTCAGCCTCATGGGGGTACTGCGGCCTTCCCACAGCCTGTACCACAGGCCCCAGCCTCACCCCTCCCCCAGCCTCACCCTCCCCCAGGCTGCACCCCTCCCCCCAGCCTCACCCCTCCCCCAGCCTGCACCCCCTCCCAGCCTGCACCCCTCCCCCAGCCTGCACCCCTCCACCCAGCTTGCACCCCTCCCCCAGCGTCACCCCTTCCCCAGCCTGCACCCCTCCCCCAGCCTGTACACCCTACTGTCCCCTCACCCGTTAGCCAGCAACACCCTGTATGAAACATAATTTAGATCAGGAACAAACCAAGGGTCATCATCCCAGAAACTGCTGGACCGCGGGGTCCCCATGTTTCTTCCAAGGAGCCACCCGCACAGGTATGAGACGCCAGGTGTTCAGATTCCTCACGCTCAGAACAAGCCCAAACGCCCATCCTGTCCAGTCCCTCCTCACAGGGCCCAGTTTCAAACTGGGGGCCCCTCATTCCAGAGCCCTCAGCGCCTTCCTCCGTCCTCAGGGCCAGGAGCATCCTTCCTGCGCTGCCCACCCTCTGCTTCTCTTTCTGACCCCCTCTCTGCCGCTTCCGGGCCCTGCGATCACATCAGGCCACCAGCAGAATCTGGAATGACCTCCACCAGGTCCTTCGCCAGCAGCGTCCTTTTGCCAAGCGAGGGGCCACATCAACAGGCTCTGCTGTGGACATCTTGGGACCGTTACTCTGCTGACCTCATGAAGGGCCGTGTTTTCTCCCAGGACGGGCTGACACCACAGGCCCCAGGGCTGACCAGGGGCAGGCGGGGCACGCTGGGCACCGCTTCGCGCTCTCCTCGGCTAGCACACCCGCAGCTTGCTCCCCACTCTGAGGAGGAAGAAGTGCCCGGGACCCGCACCGGTTGCTAAAAGTCTCACCTCCTTTTAATGCTATTTCCTGGGTTTCCTTACTTCTTCAGAGGTTTTAATTTTTTGCCTTGAAATTCATGCAACCCGGCTATTTCAAGACAAAGGGTGTTATTTTGCAGACATTATTTGGGGCAAATGGCGTAGCCCCCAAGAGACTTTGGAGGCAGACCGGTCGGTGTCTGTGCAAGTAACACACCCCCAGGAGAAGCAGGAAGTGTGGCCGCGCAGAACGGAGGGCAGAGAGGCCCCCCCCCCCCCCCCGCTGACTGCTGGCTGGGTCCTGCATTCCTCTCAGAAGAAGAGAAAGCAAACTGACCCTGCCGGAAATCACCAGGGTCCAGGAAGTGTGGGGAAAGGGGAGTGCGTTGTGGCCAGTAACTTTCAATGCTAAACGCACAGTTTATCATCCGAGAGCAAAGAGGGGGCCAGACTCTGAACTCAGGAGTCTTACAGGCCCAGGGAGGCTGACCCCGCCGTCCTTCAGGGAGACCCGCCCCGGGAGACCCCCAAAGGCCTCTGCGGCCTCTCCTGCCCGGAGGGGAGCTCGGCCTCCCCCAGGGGCCCCGCCGCGTGTCAGAGCTGCCTGTGCAGCTTCCGCTCTGCAAAGGTCAGGTGTGTTTCCTCTGAGAGGCCGCACACGGGGGAGGGGAAATGACCCCTTTTCCCTCCAATGAACTGACTCCTTCACCCTGTGGAAGCGAAACCGAGGCCAGGGAGGAGGGGGTCGGCCCCGCCGGGCCTCAGCCTCTGGTGGGCGGTGGGTCTCTGGGCCCTGTTAGCCTGGGTGAGCGGGGTGGAGAAAGAGCAGTTTTTCTTACAAACTGTAGAGTTTGGTGCCCTCCGAGACCTTTCCTCCCTCCTCTCAGGGTCCGGATGTGCTTGTACGCAGGGCCCTTACTCCGTCCTGAGATGTTTGGGGGGCCGGCAGTCATGGTGCCGGTTCCCTCCCGGGCGCTGGAGTCCAGGCAGCGAGAGGCTCCCATCTGGGTTTGCTCCAGAGTCCGTCCTTCCATGCTGAGGCTCCCATCTGGGTTTGCTCCAGAGTCCGTCCTTCCATGCTGAGGTGATGGCTTCCACCTTCCATCAGGGCTTCGCTTCTTAAGGTAAACAGAGCAGGCATCCGTCCTTCAGAGCGGGGGCCCGGCTGTCTCAGCGCTAGGCGGTGGGCGTTGTGTGGGTGACCTTCCCCCTCGGAGCCCACCCCTGCCCTGCTCTCTCCCCCGTGCCTCCCACCCGGGGGAACCCCGCCCCGTGTTTTGCTCTCTTTCCTTCATCTCAGGGCTCTGTCTGACCTGGTGGTGCCCTTGGCTGGGGCCACTTCTGGGGGAATTGCATCTTTAAGGCCAAACATGGCGTCTTTACAGGCTGTTAAATGGAGAGAACGGCTTTGACTACAGGGGTGTGGGAACTTTGTGAGTGACCCAAGTTATTCCCTGTGCCCACCAAAAGCAGCAGCCCAGCCTCTCCCGTACCCTCAGCTTCCCACGGCCCCAGGGAGGAGCTGAGCTGGCTTTGCCACTGGGCTTAAGCCTCCAAAACATCCCCCACTGCCCCGACGGCTCTGACCACTCCCCTGCAAAAAAGCAAGGCCTGTGACCTCGGCCAGGGCGCCAGGGGTCGGGGAGCCCGGCCAGCGTGCCGACGGAAGGGGAAGATGCCTGCCCCAAGACGCAAGCTACGATCCCTCCAAGGCAGTATCCTCTGTCCTGCCAAGCCGGGCAGGAAACAAAGAAGAAAAAGCTGGTGCCGCCTGCCCCACGGCAGAGGCTCCAGCGGCCAGCGGGACCCCAGTGTTGACTCCGTGCAGGCCTTGTGAAGGTTTAGTGCAGGAGCCACGGGCCTCTAAGCAGGGCACCTGGGCTCTGCTGTCGAGTTAGATTCAACAGCTCGCAAAGGAAGGAATCACTTCTTCAAGAGCCCCTTTCGTCCAGCCACCCGTATTTCCCAAGGACCTTCCTTGACCTGTGGAGCAAGCCTCCCCTGCGACCGCAGGGCCGACGCAACAGCACTGGCTTCTCGTGGCCCCCGATGGACCACCGAGCCTCAACGGAACATGCGTTCTCATGGGTGCATCACTGCTCCTCGCTGGTTTCCATAGCCTGCGAGTAATTTTCCTTTGAACCAGGCTTGTGTGATGTGCTAAAGGACATTATGTTTTATTTGTGTTACTGTATTAAAAACAGATGAAACATCAGTTGATCCACTGGCCCTTTGGGGTTACAGACAAAATCATTTGAAAGGTCTTTCTAAAAGTTTTTAAATTAAAGCTGCTATGGTGGTTAAAGATGTGTTGAAGGGGTTCTGTATAAATCAAAAGGAATAACAATAACAAAAGAAACCCACGAATGAATAACTGTCATGGTTCATTTATTCAGTAACTAACTCAGAGAACACAGGCTCTGAGGCAGCACTGTCAGGGGAGCATCCCACATCTGGTACCTGTCACCTGGGAACCCCAGTTTTCTCCTTTGTGAAATGGAGAAAATGATCTCTCTTGCAGGGCTATTGGGGCCTTTAAAGAGATAATGCCCCTCTAAAAGGAAAGAAAGGTATTATATATAATATCAGGCTAGAAACTATGTAAAGGGACCTGCACATGAGGTGTTCGATGAATGTTACCTACTGTTATTTCCAATAAGACTAAGGCAGGTATTGTGTTTGCTTAAAAATGACTGAATGTCTGTCCCACAAAAAATACTGTCAGAACCACTTAATGTATTCAGCAAAGTTTTAGGATACGAAATCAAAACACAAAATTAATTTGCATTTCTATGCTAACAGTGAGCAAATCCAAAAAGGAAATAAAGAAAAACATCCAGTCACAATATCATCAGAAAGGAATAAACTTAGACAAGGAGGAGAAAGACTCATACACTTAAAACTACAAAATGTTGGGCTTCCCTGGTGGCGCAGTGGTTGAGAGTCCGCCTGCCGATGCAGGGGACGCGGATTCGTGTCCCGGTCTGGGAAGATCCCACATGCCGCGGAGCGGCTGGGCCCGTGAGCCACGGCCACTGGGCCTGCGCGTCCGGAGCCTGTGCTCTGCGACGGGAGAGGCCACAACAGTGAGAGGCCCGTGTAACGCAAAAAATAAATAAATAAAACTACAAAATGTTGCTGAAAGAAAGTAAAGATAACCTAAATAAATGGAAAGACATCTGTGTTCATGGATCGGAAAAATTGACATCGTTAAAATATCAATAATACCCAAAGCGATCTACAGATCAAATGCAATCTCTATCAAAATCCCTATGGTATTTTTGTGGAAATGGAAAAATCTATCCTAAAATTCACATGGGGTGTCAAGGAACCTCAAGTAGCCAAAACAATCTTGAAAAAGAACAAAGTTGGAGGTCTCACACTTCCTGATTTCAAAACTTATTACAAAAATATAATAATCAAAATAGTGTGGTCTTGGCAAGACAGACATATAGACCAATGGAATAGAGTAGAGAGGCCAGAGCTAAATCCTCGTGTATATGGTCAAATAATCTTGACAAGCGTGCCAAGATGACTCAGTGGGAAAGAATAGTCTCTTCAATAAATGGTGCTGGGAAAACTGGATATCCACATGCAAAAGAATGAAGTAGGGTTCTTAACCTTACCCTGTATGCAAAAATTAACTTAAACTAATCAGAGACATAAATATAAGATCCCAAACGGTAAACTTCTAGAGGAAAACATGGAGTAAAGGACATTGGATTTGGCAAGAATTTCCTGGATATGACACCAAAGCACAGACACCAAAAAGTAAAAATAGATGAGATGAGTTGGATTTCATCAAAATTAAATTTCCCATCAAAGGATACTATCAACAAAGTGAAAGGCAACCTGCCGAATGAGAGAAAATATTTGTAAATCATATATCTAATAAAGGGTTAAGATCCAGAATATATAAAGAATGCTTACAATTCAACAACAACAAAAAGTAACTTTATTTTAAAATGGTTAAAGGACCTGAAGAGACATTTCTCCAAAGAAAACATACAAATGGTCAACAGACACATGAAAAGATGCTCCGCATCACTAATCGTCAGGGAAATGCAGATCAGATCCGCAGTGAGACGCCAGCGCACACCTTTTAAGACGGTCACTATAAAAAAAAGCAAACCAACCAAAAAGTAAGAAGTGTTGGTGAGAATGTTAAGGAATTGGAATTGTGCACTGTCGGTGGCATTGGAAAATGGTGCAGATGCTATGGAAAACATAGTGTGGCGGTTTCTTGAAAAATTAAATATAGAATTGTCATATGATCCAGCGGTTCCACTGCTGGTTATGTACCCAAAAGAAATGAAAGCAGGGTCTCAAAAAGATATCTGTACACCCATGTTCAGAGCAATATTGTTCACTATTGCTAAAATATGGAAGCAACCCAAGTGTCCGTTGACAAATGAATGGGTTAGCAAAATGTGGTCTATGCATACAATGGAATATTATTCAGGAATATTAAAAAGGAAGGATTTCAAAAATAAACAAACAGACAAGAGATCAGAGTTGTGGTTACTGGGGGTGGGGAAATTGGATGAACATGATCAAAAAGTACAGACTTCCAGTTATAAGACAAATAGGTACTAGGTTTGTAATGTAAGACATGATTAATATGAGTACCATGGCCATAGGTTATATATAAAAACTGCTAAGAGAGTAAATCCTAACAGTTCTCATCACAAGAAGGAAATATTCTTTCTCCTTCTTGTGTTTTGTATCTATCTGACATGATGGGTGCTCACTAACCTTACGTGATAATCACTTCGCGATGTATGTAAGTCAGACCGTTATGCTGTACACCTCAAACTGATAAAGGGCTGTTTGTCAGTTATATCTCAATACCACTAGAGGAAAAAGCAAATACAAAGGAAGGAAATTCTGCAATATGCTACAACACGGATAGACTTTGAGGACATTATGCTAAGTAAAATTAGCCATTTACAAAGAAAACAAATACTGTACAATTCCACTGGTCTGCGGTACCAGATCAGTCGATCGCATGGAGTCACGGTGCCTGCCAGCGGCGGGGGAAACAGCTGTTGGTTAATGAGGACAGTTTCAGTTTTGCAAGATGAACAAGTTCTAGAGATGACTGCCCAGCAGTGTGATGTACTTAACATTCCTGAACGGTACACTTAGAAATGGTGAGGACGGTTTTATGTTATGCATTTTTCACCACAATAAAAGAAATTACTGAGACCCTGTGATAGGCACCGGGTACATATGATGACAAACCATTCTTGCCTTCAAGGAACTCACCCCTCGAAAAGGTATGAGCTTCCGGGTGAGCCGACCTTGCTGCCTTGGGACACCTCGCATCCTTGTGGCGGCCAGGCCCGTGGGAGAGGCTCGGGGCCTCCCCGTGATGAGGCCGCTCAGCACAGGACAGCTCACGGGGCCCACACTGCTGCCTGTGTCCCACCGAATCCGAAAGAGTTTGTTTAAATCGTGGCCGTGAGAGAGCTCTGTACCGTGTTTGTGATCTTCTGTTTTCAGGGCATTACGTTCCATTCAGGGCCAACTCCCCTCACGGGCAGGCGGCCACGAGCCACAGGACCCGCGTCTGGTCTAGCGCTCTGCGTCACATCAAGTTGAACCACCCTCGGCCCGCGTCGGGACCCCAAGGCGCCCGGGACACTCCAGGGTGTCATCTCCGCTGCCTCAGGACAAAGGGCCACCACGTGGGCCATACAGCTCCCTCCCTGCTGCTCAGAAGGTCCTGCCTGCCTTGTTTTGTTCTTAGGGAAGCATCCAGCAGACCTGCGCCCCCGGCTTGTGACTGAGCAGGAGTTTATGCTCACAATAGGTGTTGTTTATAATCCCGCCCCCCAGCTACCCTAGAAATTTCTCAAGTGATTTCTTTATGCAAGCTGACGCCTAACGCCACCACCGCCGCCTGGGGCCCTGCTCCTTAGGGGATAATAAGCCGGAATCCTCCGTGTCCTTCCCACTGATTGCTGCTTATTAAGCTCCAGCACGGAGCGGAGCCTGTGTTTTTCCTCAGCCTTTTGCATCTCCTCGTGTGTGTGTGTGCTGTGCATATAATGATAGGAAGATGCTAATTTATACTGTACTGCAGAGCTGCCAAAAGAAGCACCGCCCTGCACGGGGACCCTGGGGAACCGAGTGGGGTGGAAGGGGCTCCGGGAGACCCCAGGAGAAGCAGACAGAGGTCCACAGGGGCGTGCAGGCTCGGGAGATGGTCTGAAACCACTGAGGTGGGGCGTTTCCAGGAGTGAGGCAGGTGGGTCTGAAACCAGCTGCTCCAAGCCTAACACGTTATTCTGTTCTCGGCAGAGTTTTAGGCCAGCTGGGCTCCTCCCAGCACCGTGGACACAGCAGACGAGTCCTTTGCTTAGAATATTTGTCTCCAAAGGTCTTGCTTCCGTGCCTGCCCACTTGCTCATTTGAGGAGATGGCTACAGAGAGGGTCAGGAATCCACGTTCTCGGTGTCGCCTGCTGGGAACCCCTGGAAGGAGACTCGAGGGTGTTCAGAACAGAGATATGGGGACCCTTGTGTGGTGTCCATGGCAACTCCATAATCGGACCACCGCTGGCCTCCATCATGAAGCGTGACGGGGTGGCTGTTCATATTTTTAGCTCCTCGGAATGTTGAGGGTTTCATTAGCTGAGTCAGTAAGACTATAGGAGGAAAGTCACAACTGGTGAGAGTCGCAGGAAGAGAGCGACCGAGTCGGGACACCCCTGGGTGAGCATTGGCAGTAACAAGGGCTCAGGGATGTAAAATTGACCTCCCCATACCCACCTTGGGTATTGCTTTGATCGCTGAACTTGTAATAAACATAATAAAGGTTTTTAAAATTAAATCTGTTAATACATTGAATTAAGCCCATGAGAAAAATTTCTTTTAAATTGGATTAATGTGCCACTTTCTTTTAGATTAAAATATAGCAATTTGGGGAAATTTTGAATGAATCCTTAAAAAGCAGTTAAATCACAGTTGAGCATCTTAAGGGCTAGAGACAGTTGCAATAGAAGGTACCAATTTTTTCACTGATATTTCAAAAATCATCTGTAAGCGATAATATTTTGGCATCAAATATATTTCTCCTCCTTGTAATCTGTGTTTTAGATCCAAAAATGGCCAAATTCATAGCTACCAGAGCATAAATTTCATGAGAACAGAGCCTTGTCATTCTTACTCAGAGATGTAGTTCCAGTTCCTAAAACAGTGCTTAATGCCTAATAATTGATGGATATTATTTTTTTTTAAAAAAGCACTTTTTAAAATTAATCAATTTTTTTGGCTGCATTGGGTCTTTGCTGCTGCACGCGGGCTTTCTCTAGTTGCGTCGAGTAGGGGCTGCTCTTCGTTACGGTGTGCGGGCTTCTCATTGCGGTGGCTTTTCTTGTTGCAGAGCAGAGGCTCTAGGCACGCGGGCTTCAGTGGTTGCAGCACACGGGCTCAGTAATTGTGGCGCACGGGCTTAGTTGCTCCGCAGCATGTGGGATCTTCCCGGACCAGGGCTCGAACCCGTGTCCTCTGCGTTGTCAGGTGGATTTGTAACCCCTGCGCCACCAGGGAAGCCCTCAATGGATATTATTAAATGAGTAAATATACCCAACGCATCACACACACACAGACGCATATGCACACAGACGCATATGCACAGATGCACACACAGATACATACACACACACACAGACACGCACACACACACACACAAACGCAATGTGACTTGCCTTTTAACACCTGGGAGATTCAGAGAATGAATACTATTTGTCTGACCCATTTTGTGTAGATTTTTATAAATATGTGTGGCTCTTTGACTTCACTCGAAATTTCCTCTAAACGAAATGTAGTTGTCAAGTCGTTCATGATTTATTACCAAGTGAAAATATTATCTCACTCCACAGGTCAGAAGGCACGGTCCTGTAGTGCTTTAAACATACACACCCCCATCCCAGGAAAACAATGGAAGGATGTAAACCTAAGTGCTGCTGGCAGGCTTTGGTGAGTTTTCTTCCTCTAATTTTGCATATTTATATTTTCTAATTTTTTATCCGTGTGTATGCACTGCCTTCGTATCGAGAAGCTGACCGTATCTGATTAGGAAGAAGGGTTTGGGTTGGCCAAAAAGTTCGTTCGGGTTGTCTGCACGATGGGCAGAAAAACCCGAACGAACTTTTTGGCCAACGCCGGGGTCCGTGCTCTTTTCCACGAGCCACGCCCTCTCGGGGGTCAGCAGGCCACGTCTGACTCTCTGAGCTGCCAGCCCCAGTTCTCCTCGTGTCCCTTTAGGGACTTAGGTCATTGAGCTCTCAGAGGCCAAGCCTCAGCCAACGCAACAGTGCCTGGAGGCCCCGAGGAGAGTCACTGGGGGCTCTGGGGAGGCCAGACACGGCACCCCGGGCACAGCCTCTCCTCCTGCCTGTGGACATGGCTCCGGGCGGTCTCCTCCAGGGTCCCTTCTGACCTCTCCGCCCCCGCCAGGACACGGATGCCCTGCCCCGGCCCCGTGCAGCCCCTGCTTCCAGTGACAGCGCCTCCATGTGCGCTGTTCAGTCACTGGTCCTCCCTCCGACTTTATTAACTAAGACGAGGCGGGGGAAGCGTGGGAGGGGGAGGGGAGATGGAGGGAGAAGCGGGGGCAGGAGGAGGTGAGGAGGGTCTTTACTGCACGACGCTCCCGTTCCCGCCCTGGGGGTACAGCACAGAGCCACTCAGACACACCCCAGGAAAAGCTGGAATCAACCAACTCCCCGCTCGATGAGTTATTAATTACACAAGTGGTTCCACCCAGAGGAGAATCGCGGGGCTGAGAGCCGCCCAGAAAGGGAGGCCCTGGGCCAGAGGTGCCCCCGGCACTGATCTGAGCCCCGGGTCTCAGTCTGCGCAGCCTTGCCTGCTGGAATGTCCAAGGAAAGGGAAAGGACTCCCCTTCATTCCCTGCCTGGGAGGACAGCAGGCCACTGCTGGGCAGCGCTTCCCGGGAGCGTGAGGCCTGCCCGCCCGGCAGCTGACCGGGGCCCTTCCCCTGGACGCACAGCACACCAGGAGAGCAGCTGGCGGGCAGAGAGGTCACAGGGCCCTGGGCCAGAGGTGCCCCGGGCTGCCCTGGTGGAGGAAACTGCCCCTCCCAGGTGCGTCGCCCCAGAAGACACTCTTGATTTGCTGCTGGCAGAGAGACAAGCAACACACAGGTCCTGCCAACTGGGAGGAGAAGAGGCCGAATCCAAGTGACCAGGCAACACCGCCACATGGAAAAGGAAGAGGACTCGGGTTCACCTATTCTTTCACGTGGTGAACACTACAGGGGAGCTCTGGAGCCCAAAATGGAGAGGAGAGGGAATTAGCAGAGCGCGATGGCACCCTGCTACTGGGCAGTGACCACGAGGCCAGGATGCTGAGCCAGCAGTAGGCCTGTGTCGTCCCTGGTGGTGACATTATCCACATCCAGGGGACGGCCACCACAGCCGATGCTGGCCCACAGGACACTGTGATACATCCGACAGCATGACCTCCCTAGGCTGCAGATGGCACGAGGGATCCGCTGACACAACCTACATCACGGAGCCTCATCAGGCTGGAAGGACAGATCTCGTCCCCGGCAACTAGAAAAGGATGGATCTTCCCCGCTTAGGGCCTGTGGAGTAGAAGGGATTTTCCTCTCTCTGTAGTATTTCTGATGTGTCTGAAATGCAGGCGTTTCTGTGCAGAGCATCAGGGTCCTAAGTGTACCTGGTCTCGTGGGAAGGAATGCGCCCCCTAGTCAGCAAGGCACTTGGGAGGTGTTGTCATTGCTGTCCGTCTGGGTGTCCTGGGACTCGGGAAGGATTCGGAAAGGCGAGCAGTGTTTGGAGGTAAGAGAGATGGGACTGGGCGGGCTGTGGCTCCTGGAGGCCTTCTCCACAGGTCACGGCACTCCTGCCATCTCCCCTTCTCATAGCTGTGAGGCTGAACTGGAGCAACAGTTGACGTCACAGCCCAGGCGAATGCAGCGTGACGGGCCTGCGAGAAAATCAGGGTGAAGCAGCCCCCACCAGGGAGGGCAACTTCTAGAAAACCACACTTAATACCTGTTTAGATACTAAGGTCTTGGTTGAAAATCAAGCCGCTCGAGAGACTTACAGAAAACATGACAATGTGGAATCATGGCTAATTAGGGACAAGGCCTCCTGAGTTTGAATTCTGGCTCTAGTACTTACCAACTGTGTGACCTTGGGCCAACTAGCTACCTTGTATGGCTTCAGCTTGCTCAGCTGTAAGGTTGTGAGGACAGAATTCCTTGTGCCCTAGGCTTGCTGTGAGAATTAATAAGCACTTAGAACATCGCACAGCTCATCGTAAATACGCAGTAAGGATCAGTTATTTAAAAAAAAATTCCTGTCCCCCAGAAAAGCTGGTTAGATCATGATGAGCCAACAAAGGGACACAGAGGCCCCTTTCCTTCATAACTGCCGCTGGAGGCCTGGCCTGGCTTTCTGGCCAGCCAAGCCGCCAGGTGGGCATAATGTGAGCTTTGCTCTGCTTTCGTTCTGTAGCAAAGCTTACTACTAAATGTGAAAATTCAGAGACCATGTTGCCAAAAAGAAATCGCATGATTCCCTGAAATGGCAACCATTTCAGGTAGTAAATAGTAAGTTCCTACTTACTAATTTGGGGTGTTTAGGGAATTCCCTCAGAGGCCCAGTGCCCTGTTTTCCTCGAATTGCCTCCTATTATAGCTCTTTGTGCGTCACATAAATCATTAGCATCACACAGTCCAAGACTCTCTGACTCACAAGAATGCCTCTTGGTTTCCCTAGGAATCAGAGAGGAACAGAAAGTCATTTTTTCATCCCAAATTCTTTCCTTTCTTGAGCTCCTTCCCATAGCTCAGGTACTGTGTTGGGTGCAGGTAACCTAGACACAGGCGCAGGTCGTCACCTCCAGGCTCTCGCAGGCTGACGGGAGGGTCAGGCAAGAGAACTCGCGTGTGTCTGTCTGGAGTTTGCAGGCACCGGGCCTGATGGAAAGGGAGAGTGGGCACCTGGGGAGCCTGCACCCAAGACAGAGGGGAGGCGGATCCTGAGGGTGAGAGAGGCAAGGAGGGTCTTCCAGGAGAAGAGTGTGTGCAAAGGTCCAGGCCAAGGGAGCATCTCGAGTTCAAGACCATGAGAGATTCCATGAGGCTGAAAGCAGCTTCACATGGAGAGTGGGGAGAGCTGAAGGGCAGAGTTGCACAGGGGCACAGGCTGGTCACGAGGGGCTTCACTGGACCTCACTTTAGGCCCAGGGGCCATGGCGGGCCACTGCAAGATATTTGGGTTGAGAGAAAGGCACACTGGGTTTGCATCAGAAGTGCCTCTCTGACAGCCACGTCAGAATAGCTGGCAAGGCAGCCAGTCGGGCCTGGGCTGGGGTTTGAGGCCACGGTGACGCTGAAGCAAAGGTGGGAGAGCTGAGAGGGTCGGGGGGCAGGCCACCCTTAGGACGGATGTCCGGGGTTCTCGGGGCAGACGTGGCACTGGCTGTGGCCGCGGGTGCCTTCCCCCCCGGGAAGAGCCTCTCTCCCACTGGGCTTGCCTCTGACCGGATCTGAAGCCCATTGGGCCCAAGTCCTAATTCTCAAGCTGCTCCTGCTTCGGGGTCCTTGTAGCGACCCGTGACCGTCCCTCAGCCTAGGGCATTCAGCCCTCGGGCTCCACCAGACTCTTGCCGGCAGTTCAGGGCTCTGGGCAAAGGCCGTGCCCACCCCAAACCTAAACCAAGTTCTCCTGTTACGGTGCCCGCTACCTCACCTTCACAACGTTTAGGGCAACGTGCAATGAAGTATTTGGACGCATGGTTATTAGTTTTATATTTAGCTCCCTGTAGACTGTGGTCCCCATGGGGCAGGACCCCTGAGTCCCGGGCCCCAGCAGATCCCAGTAAGCACTTGTGCAGCATCAAAGGCAGGACGCAGCAAGAGAGAGACCGGGGGGCTTCTGGGGTTCCAGGGCTGAGGGTGCCACGCCGTTCAGCCCGGGCAGGGGGACAAGGAGAGGGGAGCTTCCAGGGTCCGCAGCCAGCCCCACGGCCGTGTCCATGAGGACCCGCCCTGATGCATGCCTCACCGCGTCTTAAAGCACAGTCTCTGGGGTTCATGCCCCACACACAGCCCCGTGCAGGTGAGGGCCTGGGCCCACCCCTTTCTCTTGGTGCCTTTTCCCACCGCGGGCCTAGAGAAGCATCCCCGAGGAGAAACGTGATGAGGAGCCACGGACTGTCCTCCTGGGCCTCAAGGAACTGGGTGTGTGGCAGTGTCTTCAGCTGCAGAGGTTGTTTGTCGTCTGGGCGGGGACGTGGCACTCGGTGCTAAGGAGGGAAAGCCGGGGCTCGTGGGTGTGCGGCGCTGGCGGCCAGGGCAGCCGGGGTCTCAGGCCGCTTCTCCACCTCCCGCTCTGCCCAGCTCTGCCCCGCTCTCCTCCCTCACATCACTTCCTCTCCCTAACTTCCGTGGCCCCCCGCTGCGCTCTGGTCAAAGTCCAGACCTGGTCACGACACGCCTCCTCCAACCTCAACGCAGGCACCGGGAGCCCGGACGTAAGGCCCGCAAACGGGCGCTGCGGGTGCGGGAAGGTCTGTCTGGCGCCTGCGATTCCTCAGTGCCGTGTCCACATTTCCAGGGCGTTTTCACGGCGTTGCCCTTTGGTGACAGCGGCTGTGTTTGGGCCCCAGGACAGAGCTGGGCCGATGCCCCCTCCTTGTCCCAGCACGTCCCACCCACGTCCGTCAGTTCTGACCCCCAACATACAGATGAGGGTGCCGTGGCCTAGGGCGCGGATGGCGCTCCGTCTGACCCCAGAGGCCGAGCCCTAAATTACTGAGGACCACCACCTTCCCCAAACGCCCCGCCGGAAGATCAAACCAGACGCCCCTGACGCCGCGGCGACTGGTCTGGAGCCTCACTGTGACGGTGGGGCCAGTGTTTGAGATGCCCCCTCCCTCCTTCCTTCCTTTCCTCATCAATGACACAAATGTAAAAGCCCATGAAGGCAAAGCCTCGTGCTGTGAGGGACACTGGGAGAGTCTTCCAGAAACCAGGAGCCTCCAGGGTTATTTCCAGTTTGTGTGGGTGGAAGTGTGGGTGTGACATTCCTAGTAGAGTGAGAAATGAAGCCCCTCAACAGATTTTTAACAGTTACGACCCGTTTTAAATTTTTGCATTTAGCAAATTAATGCTTTTATATATAATTATGACATTCACAAGATAATTGTATGATTTAGAAATGTATCAATTCCTACTATTTTATTGGCAGGGTGGTCTGATAATGAGACACATGTTTAAAAATGTATGTACCTTTGTAGAAACCCAGAGAAGAAAAATGTCACCTCTCAACCGTGTTACTGTATTTTTGTGATAATTGGTGAGACAACATTGGGAGATAACACTGAAAATCAAAATCTGAGTGTCTTCACTTGGCTCAGGCCCAGGCTAAAGGGCACTGCTGCCCCCAGCCCACTCCCACCCCTGGAGAGGCCCTGGGTCGGAGGGGTGGGTGGTCCCCGCCTGGGAGGAGCAGAGTCCAGCAGGTTTACGCGGCTCCCCGCACAGCGCCCGGGCTCTCCCGCCCCCCAGCTGAGTGTCAGGTGTGGCAGGCACAGACCCCGCCCCAGGCATGGCCTCTGCCCACCGTGGGTGCATGATGGGTCCAAAGGGAATGTGTGTTTTGGGGAGGTGGGCCTGAGAGCCTGGTGGGGTGGGGAGGGCAGCCGGCTGCACAGAGACAGTGAAGCACCACCAGCGGGCAGGAGACCACGGAGCCGGGGAATGCGTGCTGGGGTCGAGGTTCCCTCACGCACTGCTGAGCGTGCGGCTTTCCTCTCGTCTGCTTGCAAAGCACCTCCAGTTGGGAAAGAGATTCAAGCCTCTCTGCAGTTCAGTCAGCAAAACAGGAACATTGCACAGGCTTTGTGGGAGGATTTACGGAACCAATCGCATGTCTCTAGTGAATCTGAAACGGCCCGAATGGTGCAGAATCTGAGACGAGTTCTGCGTATCCCGTGATACAGCTTCTGTGTGCACAGGGCTGGGGCACTGGCAGCCTGCATAGGGCTCGTGATCATCCGCTTCAAACATGCCTGAGAGGACAACAGACCTGCCTGCAGTGGTCTCTGGGCCATCCCTGAGCCAACACAAACAATCCACCTCGCCTATCCGTCCGCACGTCCACTACTCATCCGTCTACCCAGCCGTGGGGCCATCTAGGCTTCTGTACGTCCACCCACCCATCCATGTGTCCGTCAATCCGTCCAACACAGACTTACAGAGCACGTTCCACGAGCAGATCTGGCTGCTGAGGGCACAGAGAGCTCCTCTGCCCTCAGAGCTCACATCCCAGAGCAGGGAGGACGCAGGCCAGTCTGCTCTGACGGGGCCGTGCTGGGCACCACAGATCTCCGCGGAGGGAGATCGGGAGAGCCCTTCTGGTTCAGATGGGGCAGCCAGGATGTGACTTGAAGGACAACCAGCCCCTCCAGGTGATTGGCAGGCTCAGAAGTAAGAGAACACAGCCGCCGCTTGGCTGCCGCTGCCCTCTCCCCCCACCTTCCCTCCCTGCTGCCCGGACTCCCTCCCTTCCCACAACCTTCTCCAAAGGTGGAGGCACAGGCTCCACGCGCTGGTCGTGGCTGCAGGCAGAATGACGTGGTTTAGCCCAGGGTGCTCGTTAGGAAGCTTTGAGTCTAGCCCCTGTGCTGGCATTCCCCATGAGCTGCTGTGTGCAAACTCGAGCAAAGAGCCCTGCACGTGTAGAGGACACGGCTGGGGCAGGACCCGCTGGGGCCACGAGGCAGACGCTCGGAGTGACGCCGCCCGCATCCACCTCCGCCTGCGGGTTCCCTCGGGGCAGAGCAGCTGCGCGGATGGAGAGCAGGTGTCTCTGAAACCGGCAGTGCTGGCGGCGGGGCCTCCAGTGGCACCTGCAGGAGGAGCCCCCATGGACGGCTGTGCTTCTCTTCCCTTTGTTTTTCGCAAAGTAACACTCACAGAGGTCAATTGCACAAGACTGTCCTTTTGTAGATCAAAGCAGCTGAATATTGACAATTTAACGTGGTTCGCTGAGCACGAAAGTCTAGGGCTTTTACCAGGAGCTCCCGGTAGAAGAATCACTTTGCCTCAGATACTTCGACCCTTGAACGAACCAGTGTCTGATCAGATGGGCACTTTTCTTCCCACCTTGCGGACAGGGAAACAGATGCTCAAGCCACACGGCCCACATGCGGAGAGACAGACCGAGGTTTCCTGACTCCGGACGTGAGACACCTGGCCTTCACTCTGGCAGATGAGCAGCCCCTGGCTCCGCCGGCCCCAGCTGGCCTGCTGACCTGGGCGTCCAGGCTCTATGGCCAGCCCAGCCTCGGGCAGGGGCACCTGGGGGCAGCTCACCTTGCCGCTGCTCCGACCCGACCACGGGAACTGGGCGTCACGCTGGCCTCGCGCTCCTGGCTGGGCACCCCCTCGCCCAGCGACACGTCTGCGTTCTGCTGAACTCCACTCCTGAACTGGGGTGCGCTGCCCCACAGGCTGACTCTGGGACTTGCTGGCCCCGGGCATTTCCTGCCCTGAGCCGCGAGTCTGTCCTCCTGGGTGGAGGGGGGTCCCTTGCCAGGACGAGCCCCTCCTGGGGGTGTCGCCTGTGCCTCAGTGAGTAGGGCTGGGCGGTGCTTCCTGCCAGTCCTCTGCCCCCAGACTCTCCCTCTTCTCACACAGGCTCCATGGCAGCTGTTGGGCGGACGTGGGCATCTCTCCAGCTGGTCCTCACTTGAGTTCCACCGTCTTGAGCGGGCAACCTTCACAGACTCTTCCTGCGCTGCACGGACCAAGAAAGCACCAAACGCAGAGGCTATGGAGACCAGGAGCGTTTTTAGGGGCTGCGTGGTGGGTCTGGGTGAACAGGAAGGGAGGAGGGGCCAGGAGGCAGCCCTCAGCGAAGGGTGCGAGGAAGCCCGCAGCAGCCTGGACAGGGCGCAGGGCCCGCACACCGCCCAGGCTCACGGAGGTGACTGGTGAGGCTGGCCTCCCCGCGGACAGTGCCGACCGTGAGTGAAAGCCCCCCTGACGGCCTTTGAGACCCGGCTTCGTCCGTGCGGGTGGACCAGACTGTCCTGAGGACGGCAGGTGGCCCGCAGTAGCCAGCAGGGCCGTGGCCCGCGGTCCCCGCTCACCGCCCCCCGGCCCATCACACAGCAGGCAAGATGCACACGTGCTCAAGCTCCAGAGCACGGTCCTCGCAAGATGCACATGTATGTATGTTCACGCGCACACGTGGGCACATGAACACAGGCGCCCAGCGCTCACACAGGCACGCATATGCACACACACACACACCACTGCCGCCGCGGACACCTGAGGGTGGGGCCTCCCTGAAGCCACGTGTAAACCCCTAAGCGGAGTGGCCTGTGCCCCGTGGGGCAGCGACGGGCCTGCAGCCCCTCCCGGAACCCCTCAGGTCTGATCCCAGGCTCCCTGGGGGCAGCTCCTGGGTTGTAGGCCTAGGTGTCAGTGGACGGCTGGCTTCCTGCCTCTCCTTGGCTGAAGGGGACCCTTAGGAGGCCTAATAAGCCACCAGAGCCACGCCTCCTGATGGGGCTGGGGTGGGGTGGACCCCCGCCCCAGACGCACGAGCTCCGGCCCGTGCCCCACTCCCCCCTCCCAGGAGGCCTGCACTCCTCTCGGCCAGGGCAGCCCCAGCACCTCGCCCCTTGCAGCCAGGAGTCAGGGCCAGAGCAGGGCCTCATGCACCAGACCCCTGCCCTCCTCTGACGCTTAATTTTCGGGAACTTGCTTGTTTTTTAATGTGGCAACAGCCTCCAGTCCTGCACCCTGGACGCCCAGTAAATATTTACAGAGCAGCTGAGAGGCACTCGCCTGGGTGCAGCTGGCCTGCTGGAAGTGGATGGGGGGGAGGGGGGCAGCGCAGCAGCGAGGACGCCCTTCCAAAGGGCAGGGCTGGACCCCAAGGCTCTGCACGGAGGGCGTTGGGTGCCCTGCTTGTTCTCTGCAAACGAAACATCTCAGCCAAACAGAAAGCAATCCCCTTCCTCAGTCCCCGTCCGTGAAGGTGAGGTTCCCGCAGCCCCGTGGGCTCCCGCCACCTCCTTGTTCACTGTCCCGCTTCTGAACATACTTCGCTTTCACCCCGTTAACTAAGTCGGCCCCTCCCCTCCCCCACCGCGGGACCGGCAGTCCAACAACAGGTCTGAAGGTCTGCATCCTTGTCCAGAGGGGCAGGTGCCACCTCCACACGGTGCCCTGAGCCACGGCGGCCCCAAGCGCATCACCCAGAGTGAGAGGAATAAGACCCTGGTCCCCTTGCGGCCAAGCTCCAGGGACGCCCCTGGGGTCCCTCCATGAAGCTCTGTGTGTAGAAGTGTGCTTTTGGGGTGCGCGGTACTGACATGTGCGCACAGAACCGCTCAGCCCAAAGCGGTGAGTCCAAAGGCAGAGAGCGCCGACCATCGTGGAGGGCGATGCCGACCCGTGTCACCGGGGTGTCCTGGAGGAAGGGCGGAAACAGCCGCCTGCGAGCTGGGCGTCCTCTGGGGGCCACACCCAGCAGCCGGGACCCGAGGGGGACAGAGGAGGGCATCCAGGGCTCATCTGCACTGTGGCGTGTGGCTCCGGGAGTCCAGCGCTTGCGGGAGACCTGACATTTGCGGAAGCAGAAGAACCAGTTTGTGCTGATGGCAGCTGCTTCTGTGGGGAGGAAGTGGCAGAACTGGGACCAGATTCGCAGGCGGGGCTTTTGGGTCAGAGGTCCCAGAGGAGCGAGTGGCCGCCCCTGCCCTGGAGAACACAGGCAAGGGTCCAGCGCCCACAGGCCTGCAGCCATCAGGGAGGAAGCATCTTGCCCACTTGGTGGTTGGAGGAGGAGGGACACCCTCCCACACCCAGGGGACCAGAAGCGAGAGTGACCGTGGGGCGCTTGAGGATCTGGACCCAAGCCCCGCCCTCTGCCCTGCACACCAGGCCTGGGGCCCGAGAGGCACCCGTGCCCACCTGGGTCAGGGGAGAAACAGGCAGGACCAGCAGGGCGGAGGCTCAGCCCATTTCCAGGCCTGCCCTTGAGCGTCCAGGAAAAGGGGAAAGAAAAGGAAACGTCTCTCCTGTTGACTCCCTCCCTTTAGAAAGCCCCATGCTCTGACAACTGAGGCCCGACCGTCACCCCGTCACCCCAGCCGATGGCTTCTCCCTGCTCCCAGCGGTCTCCTCAGGGCCAGGCCTTGGGCTGGGGCGGCTCCCGGGCAGGAGCCTCGTCCCCAGCGGGGCAGCAGGCGACTTCTGTACGTCTCCTGGGCCCCACCCTCTCCTGTCCTGCATCCTCCAACTTCAACGCCTGCTCTGACCTCCCCCAGCTCCCCGCTGGCGCTCCCTGAGGCACCTCACTGCATCCTCCTCATTATCTCCTGGACACACCTGTCTTCCCTCTCCCCACCTGCCCCCGGCACCAAGGTGTCCCGAGGCCCCGACCCCTGGGGGTGCCACTCAGTCCCTCTTCACAGGTCACCAGTGACAGCTCCCAGATGCGCCCAGGCACTTAGCTCTGCCTGCTGGCAACCTGACCCACCTCCCCCGAGACCCTCACAACCTGGACAAACTGGCCCCGATTTCCCTCCTGGCCCTCTGCCCGAGCAGCTTGGCACCTGGAGTGACTGTCCTCCAGCCCTGCCCTTACCCCGCCGGTCCCTGCCTGGCGCTGGGTACTCTCTGTCCCAACGGTGACAGCGCGATCGGGACCCAGCTCCCACCGGCCGCACTCCGGTCCCTGCTGTCCTGAGGTCCCCACGTGGTTGAAGCGGCAGATGGAGTCGCCCCGTAACCATTTAACCGAATGCAAGATCTTATTAATTTTAGGCAACTCTAACTGGTACCAAATTCTTCCTCCTGCCCCACCTCCCCCAAACAGGCCTCCATTGACCTTCCCACCTCTCCCATGGAGTTTGGAAACCGATCCCCCCCTCTCCCGCCCCCGGGCCTCACCCAGAGCCTGAGCTGTCTGCAGCCAGCCCCGTGGGCGCCCCTGCTCGCCTCCTTCTCTGAGTCTTGGCCTCCGGCTGGTCGGGTGTGAGGCCCGCAGCCTCCACGTGCAAATGGGCAGAGCTTCTGTGCTCGGCACCCAGGGGCCGTCCCCGTGCGAGGGGAGCACCCCGCGTGTGCCTGACCCACACCCCCAGTACCGAGGGCAGCCACGGGCTCGCATCACCAGGTGGTCTGGGTCAGGCTCCGCAGCCGCGTTCACAGAGCATCCGTGTGGGCTGTTCTGAAAGCTTCTGGGGGTCCTGGCTGGTGGCTTCCATGCAGGACACCCTCACTAGAGAATGCTGGACAACTGGGAGAGGAGACTGCAGCCCGGCGAGGCAGATGGCATCACAGGGCAGGGCAGGAGTGGGAAGTGCCTTCTAGAAAGCTCTAGAGCGTGCAGTGCCCTCCTAGTGCTGGGCAGTGGGCCTCAGACCTCCCTCTCTGGGCGCTGACTGCAGAGGCCCTGCGTTTGGCAAGGGTGGCCGGCTGGCACCCTGTCCCAGCGGAGGCCTCTCCACGGCCCTGGGCCTCTCGGCTTCTCCGTGAGCTGTGGAGTCTGTGCAGCTCCATCTCCCAGGCCGGAGGGAGGCTCCAGGAGGCTGAACACCGTGCAGGGGACACTAGGGCCAGGTGCTGCCACCAGAGCCCACGGGGCCTGCTCGGACAGGTGGGAAGCCTTGGACGGGTGACGCCATGTGGCCAGGATTCCACGTGGAGGGAGCCAGTCCACGGTTCTCTGAGTGCTGGTCCTTTGAGATCAGTGGTCATGGACAAATCCAGCCCCCGCCCCCCTGCCTGGTTTTGCAGATCCTGGGAGCAAAGAATGATTCTCACATTTTCCAACAACAGAGGAAGAAACAAAAGAAGAATTTATTTTGTGACACACGAAAATTATATGAAATTCAAATTTCACAGTCATAAATGAAGCTGGAACACAGCCAGGCCCACCCATTACTGATGGGCGCGGTGCTTCATGCCACAGCTGCAGGGCTGTCATGAGGAGCGGGCCTGGGTCCCCACCACCCACAGGCAGACCTCTCATTGTGCACCTCGCAGATATTCTGTTTCTACAGATTGAAGGTCGGGGGCAAGCATCGGGCAAGTCTATTGGCGCCATTTTTCCAACGGCACTTGCTCACTTGGAGTCTGTGTCGCATTTCGGTAACATGCAACATTTAAACTTTTTCATTACTGTTGTATGTGTTATGATGATCTGTGAATCATAACACTGAAGGCTCAGTTGATGGTTAGTGAATTCTAGAATAATTTTTTCTCTTTTGCGGTACACGGGCCTCTCACTGCTGTGGCCTCTCCCGTTGCGGAGCACAGGCTCCGGTCGTGCAGGCTCAGCGGCCATGGCTCATGGGCCTAGCTGCTCTGCGGCATGTGGGATCTTCCCGGACCGGGGCACGAACCCGTGTCCCCTGCATCGGCAGGCGGACTCCCAACCACTGCGCCACCAGGGAAGCCCTAGAATAAGTATTTTTAATGAACGTGTGCACACTGTTTTTTAAACATAATGCTACTGCATACTTAATAGCTCCAGCACAGTGTAGACGTTACTTTCACATGCACCGGGGATCCAAAAACCTGCCGCGACTCTCTTGGCTGCGATGTTCTCCTTATTGTGGGGGTCTCCACACAAAGTTGGAGGAAGGACACCCAGGCCCCCTTCCCTCCAATGTTGGCGCTCTGGTTCTCAGGCCCAAGGGCTTGCACACCTGGCCGCCAGCCTGCAGGAGCCCCCAAAACTGTGGGAGCAGACCCCCCCCGTAACGCACTTAATAATGCATCCGTGTATGCTGTTGGTCTGCTCCTCTGTGGAACCCTGATGGATACAGGAGATGAGGAAGGTTAAGTGAGGCTGCAGGTGAGACATAATCTGACAGGACAATGCCTTGTAAGGAAGGACGAGATCTCCTCCCTTGCATGCACACTCAGGAAAGGTCATGTGGAGACACAGCAAGGAGGCAGCTGTCCACAAGCCAGGAAGAGACCTCTCACCAGGACCCAAGCACGCTCCAACCACCTCCAACTCCCAGCTGCTGACTGCGAGGAAACGCATCTCTGTTGTTTAAACCCCAGCCTGTAGTCTGTTGTCGTGGCGACCTGAGCTGCCTCAGACCGATTTGGTACCAAGAAGGCAAGTACTGCTGTAACCAACACCAACAAAGTGGGAGCAGCCTCGGGTCTGGGTGATGGGCAGAGGCCGGAGGAGTTTTGAGGTGCATGTTAGAAATATGGACATTAGAGGCAATTTTGGTGAAGACTCAGAAAGAAAAGAAGAGAGCTGGTGAGAAAGCTTCTGTCTTCTCAGAGAGTACAGAGATAATCAGGGCAGGATGGTGGCAGAAATACAGAATAAGACAACATGTTAAAATGCAGCTGAGGAAAGGAAAAGCAGCTTTGCAAACCGCCATTGACATGGCCTCCTTTGGGGAAGGCGGGGGGCTTCTTGGGGGCTTTGCCCCACGAAGATCGCGTCCCACGAATGACAAAGGGACATAACAGTAAGCACACCTCAGAGGAGCACTTACGAGAAACCAGGGGCTTGATGCACATGGATGCGCCTTTCCAGGAGTGAAGCACGTGCCATGCCGTGCTGTGCACGGCATGTGGGGTGCGTGACAGAGGGTGCTGGTTGGAAGGGTCTCGAGCTCCCGCCTCGCCCCCCCACCCCGTTTTACGGACAAGGAGCTCGAGCCCCATCTTTGCATCCAAGACTGCAAAGCAAACTCACGGCAGAGGCCCAGCCCTCCTGCTGCTCCCAGCCCTCCTGCTGCCCCCAGCTGCCCCTGCTGCCACCAGCTCCCCGTGCTGCCCCCAGCTGCCGCTTCCTGCTCTGCTCCCACTTGGCACCAACGTGGCTCAGAACCCTTTACACCCCAGGAAGTGATCCCATTGAATCAGAATTGAGGTTGCGTGTGGGACCACATTCCCAAGCGTATAACCAGCACCCAACAGCATGCCGGCGCCGGGGCTCAGCGGCTCCCATCCAGAGTGGCCTGGCTGGGAGGCCTGGGCTGCCCTCAGCAATCTCGGCCTAGTGGGCAGAGACTCAAGTTTAAACAAACATGTCTAATAAGCGTCTTAGCTGCTAATGCTTTCCTGGATCAGAGGGCTTTCACTGGCTGCCTCTGCAAAAGGCATTTGCTGTTTTAGATTCTTGGTGAGCAGGGTCGAACCTGACACATCCTTGCCCCTCTTTTTTAATCAGGGACTCTTTATAGTAGTATATGATCTCCTAGGATTTATCACAAAATTTCATCAATTTCGAGCGGTAAAAACAGCTCTTAAGTAATAAATAATTTCTTTAAATTTATGCACTGTTAAAGTATGTATTATAAAGTTCATTTAAACATGAACTTCAATAATAATTGTGAGTTACTCACTTAGCAAGTAATATATATTTTCTTTGCATTCAATTAGTAATGTAAGAAAAACCCATGATTCATCAATAAATTTAAGGTAAATTATTGGGTGTATTGAGGGACTGGATGTATATTAAAATATGGAATTACTTTCACGTATTATACCCTCAAACTATGATTCAAAATTTAGAATTTTCTTCCTTTCAAGCTTCAAGAAACCCAGAAGACCTGCTTCTCTATGGGTCATGTTTTGTTCCCAAATGACACAAGGGCCTACGGACAGTCCTGGAAGCTCCTCTTTGCGAACAGTTGATGGTGTTGATGGTGTGAGGACCAGTGCTAAAAACAAATGAAAAGTGGAATCGGTGACTCGGTGACAAGGGTCCTTGCGTTCTCCTTTTGTCCTGTTGGATCGGGAGGAAGTCCCACTGCATCCTTAAACACCCTGACATGTCTGTTGTACCGGGATTTTGGTATATGGATGCCCCTCATGATCATCCTGAGGTTCATTTCCAGGGCTGCTACAATTTTTTTAAAGGCCTGTCAGCTGTTCTTATGCTTCCTAAATAACCGCTATCAACTTAAGTCAAATAATGTATGACTGTCATGGAAACGCCCTAGAACTGAGTAAAAGAGAAGATGATCCTGTGGCCATGGTGGCCCCCTGCACAAACAGCCCCCACATGCACCAGGTCCCCAAGAACTTCTGCCCTTGGAGGCTCTCAAATGGGCCTCTTTAAAAATGAAACTATATTTTTAAATGGTTATTTCTTGGTTTTTTTTTTAATTTCTTGATTTTTAAATGGAGAGTGAAACAGTCATTTTTCTTTTCTTTAGCATCTTGACCCCCAGCATGGATTCATCAGCCCGGTTCCTGCTCTCCCGGGGCTTTACACGCACGTCCTTTTTTATGTTTGATTAGAGCACAGCTCCGATGTTGAAACGTGGGCCTCGTGAGAGTGGGGTGGGGGGATGCTTGGGGGCCCACCTGCTTGCCCAACTCTCCATCCTCAGGCCTCCCCAGCAGAATTCCATGCCGCCCACACCTTCGGCCCTCCTTTCAGCTCGTCCCTTCCTCTGGGCTTGACACTGATTCACCACCTTCAGCTCTTCAAGGTCAAACCCTTTTGACCTTCCCCACCTGGGGAAGAAGCTTCTCTGCACTGAGCTGCTCGTCTATGCCCACTCTGTCCAGCTCCTAGTGGAGGTTTCATTCCAGTGCTGTGATTTCTGTCACTGCTACGCCTCCCAAGTTTTCCAATCTCCTAATTTTTCAGCAAATGAGACATTGTGAAAAGTCTTACTTATCTTAACCAAATATCTCAATTAAAATGTTCCATTCCAAAAACATGACCCCGAGTTTGGCACCTTCTTGGTTGCATGAAACAGCTTCTTCTCCTTAAGAGCCACCAAGGAGCTGCTTCCTGCCACTTTGTCACTGTTAGGACATGACAAATGAGCCCAGGCTGTCCGCATGTGAACTGAGCAAGCCTCTCACAGGGAAGGGACAGCCCACAGGGTTCTCCCCACGCTGGCCCCGAGGGGGGACCCTCAGGCCACCCACATCCGGCCTCTGAGAGCTGGTGCTGCCGGGAACCGTCCCGGGGGGCCAGGCACGTGCGTGACCCAGAGCCGGGAGACATCTCCGAGAAGAGCGCAGGAGGGGTGTGGCTCCTGGGCCGTCATGGGGACTGCGCTGAGAAAGGAACCCGCAGCGCCCCAGGGTCCCTCGTGGGTGCTGTCCTGGGGCAGGGAGTGGGCGCTGCTCAGACAGGCCGAGGCAATGTCCCAACGCTTCTGACACACAGACGGGAAGGGCTGGAGTGGTAGACTGTGGTCACCTGTGATGGGACAAAGACACAGCGGGGGGCCCGGGCTGGGTCCCTGGGGTGAAGGGCAGCAGTGAAAAGGGAACCCACAGGTCTCGGGGGAGGAGAAAGCAGGACAGCGAGCTTCACAGAAGCTGAAGGAAGAGCGCCTTCCCCAGAGGAGCAGTCAGGGGCCTGTGCACGCGGCCGCGGTGCCCGGGACAGGGGGACCAGGCGGGGCTCAGCGGGGACAGGGCCCTGGCGCTGCTGGACAGCTGCTCCCGGTGACGGGTGACGGGCATGAGGACCGGGGAAGGCGCCCCCCCACCCAGCGGCCCCCTCCCGCCTCCCTGCTGGCGCACGCTGGGGTCGGAGCCTCACTCATCTCCAGCGCCGTGGATACCCGATCATCACACCGGAAATGGGCGCGGAAATCACCATCTTGAAATTAAAGTCATATTTTAATTCTTTAGTGAATTTTCTCGAAGGGTTACAGCAGATTTCATTAGACAGGTGTCTGTTCCCTTGCAGCACCTTGAGAAACTTCCAAGAATAGGGCTGCTTCATGCCCCCCGAGGGGAAGCTCAGGAGAGGCTTGGGTACCTGCCTGAAAAGCTCCATCATCTTTCCTGTGAACAGCTGATCCAGGACGGAAACACTCACGCTGGTGTTCTGTAAATTTGGTCTTTGATGAATGAGGTTAACCTTTAAAAGGTGCAGGGAGTTATATGTCCTGTATGTTTTCTTCTGTTTCCAGTTGACGGGCAAACAATTTCGAATGATGTCAGACAGGTATTTTTTTCCCCTAACTTTTTATTTTGAACTAACTTTGGTCTCACAGAGCATTTCCCTGGGGTGAGCAGCTTGCTGGGCCAGAGGGCGGCCCCAGGATCAGGAAACTCACTACCTACCGAGGCCCACCGTTCCCACCCCTCAGCCCCACGCCGTGCCCGCCTCCTCCAGTCTAAGATCACCCTTGGACTCTCCTGTCCCCTCACCACCTGGCGCTTTGGAAGAGCAGTAATGATGTGTCTTGTCCAGTGTTCCTCAGCTGGGGTCTGCCTGACGTTTTCTCACCGTCGGCCTGGGGAAGGGCCTTCTCTGTCTCCTTCTCGTGCACAGGTCGAGGGGCTCACGGCCTCCACACAGCTCATCTCTGTGAGGCTGACCTCCTCT